AAAAAAAAAAGACGACACAAATAGGTTAAAAGTTAAGAGATGGGAAAAGATACACCATATCAACACAATCCAAAAGAAGACTATAATGGTTTCCTTAATATCAAAGTAAATTTCAGGCTGGGTGTTGTGGCTCAGCCTGTATTCCTAGCACTCTGGGAGGCCAAGGCAGGTGGATTGCTTGACCTCATGTGTTCAAGACCAGCTTGAGCCAGAGAGAGACCTCATCTCTAAAAATAGCCAGGCATTGTGGCAACACCTGTAGTCCCAGCTATTCCAGAGGCTGAGGCAAGGGGATCACTTGAGCCCAAGAGTTTGAGGTTGCTGTGAGCTATGACGCCATATCATGAGTTTGACAAAATGAGACACTGTCTCAACAAAGAAAAAAAAAGAATTGCATAAAAAAATAGACAAATCACAATTTTAATCAGAGATTCCAAATCTTCTTTCAGTAATTGCTAGATCAAGTAGACAGAAAAATTGGAAAAGGTATTAGAAGATTTGAACAATGCTATCAAGCAATTTGATCTAATTGACATTTATAGAACCCAATAATAGCAGAATAAATATTCTTTCCAGGTGCACATGGAACATTTACCAAGACAGAGCATATTCATTACTACTAAGACTAATTTCAGTAAATTAAAAATGATTCAAATTATACAATCTATGTTCTCTGCTTTTTTTTTTTTTTTTTAGACAGAGCCTCACTTTCTTGCCCCTGTACAGTGCCATGGCAAAGTGAGCAGCACATTTACAAGTATTCCATGGATCAAGGAAGAAATTGACAAGAAATTAGAAAGCATTTTGAACTGAACTGAAAACGAAAGCACAGCATGAAAATTTTTGTGATGGCATTAAAATAGTACTTAGGGGGAAATTTATAGCTACCACTAAATGTCCATATTAGAAAATCATAAAGGGCTTAAATCAATGACCTCAGTTTCTACCCAAGAAGTATAAAAAGAAAAGTAAACTAAACCTAAAATAAGTAGAGAAAATAAAATAAATATCAGAGCAGAAATCAATGAGATATAAGACATAAAAATAAGAGATCAATGAAAGAAAAGCTAATTTCTACTTTTTTGTTTTGTTTTGTTTTGTTTTTGAGACAGAGTCTCACTATGCTGCCCTTGGTACAGTGCTGTGGCATCACAGCTCACAGCAACCTCAAAGTCTTGGGCTGAAGCCATTCTCTTGCCTCAGTCTCCCAAGTAGTTGGGATTACAGGTGCCTGCCGATTTTTCTTTTTGTTGCAGTTTAGCCGGGGCCGAGTTTGAACCCGCCACCCTCGGTAAATGGGGCCGGCACCCTACCCGCTGGAGTCACAGGTGCCACCCAACATCTTATTTATTTATTTATTTATTTATCTTTTGAGATAGAGCCTCAAGCTGTCACCCTGGGTAGAGTACTGTCGCATCACAGCTCACAGCAACCTCTAACTCCTGGGCTTAAGCGATTCTCTTGCCTCAGCCTCCCAAGTAGCTGGGACTGCAGGTGCCTGCCACAATGCCTGGCTATTTTTTGGTTGTAGTTGTCATTATTTGGCAGGCCCAGGCTGGATTCAAACCCGCCAGCTCTGGTGTATGTGGCTGGTGCCTTAGCTGCTTAAGCTACAAGCACTGAGCCCTACCATCATATTTAATGATAAATGACCCAATACTTCCCCTCTAAAATCAGGAACAAGATAGGAATGTTCCTTCTTCTCACTTCTACTCAACATTTTACTGGAGAATCTAGCTAGTGCAATAAGGCGAGAAGAGGAAGAAGTTAAACTTTGTTTAGTTTCAGGCAACATGATTGACTCTGCAGAAAATCTGACGAAATCTACAAAAACATTTCTTGACCTAAACATGATTTTAGCAGTGTTGTAGGATAGGAGATCAGCACATGCAAGAAACTGTATTCATATGTACTAACAGTAAACAAGTAGAAATTGTAAATAGGCAAGAGATTTGGACAGATGCCTTCCCAAAGGAGATATGGGATGCTAAAAAAGCACATGAAGGAATGCCCAGTATCATTTGTCATTAGAAAAATTTAAGTTAAAATCATAATGAAATATCACTGTATAATCTATGAGAATAGCTCAAATGAAAAATTACTGTCCATATTAAGTGTGGGTGCAGCTATGGAGGAACTGGAATTCTCACTGCCAGTGGAAATATGAAATGGTATAGCCACTCTGGGAAAAAACAAATTGCCAGTTTCTTAAACTAAGTTAACTAAGATAAATATAACCATAAATCCATACAAAGTCTTGTACACCAATGTTTATGGTGGTTTTATTTACGATTACTAAAAACTGAAAACTACCAGATGCCCTTTTTTTTTTTTTGAGATAGTTTCATTATGTCACCCTTGGTAGAGTGTCTTGGCATCATAGCTCACAGCAACCTCAAACTACTGGGCTTAAGTGATTCTCTTGCCTCAGCTGCCCAAGTACCTGAGACTAGAGGTGCCTGCCACAATGTCAGGCTATTTTTTATTTATTTATTTTTTTCAGGCTATTTTTAAGAGATAGTCTTGCTCTGGCTCAGGCTGGTCTTAAACTCCTGAGCTCAGGCAGTTCACATACCTCTGCCTCCCAGAGTGCTAGGATTACAGGTGTGAACCACCACACCTGGCCTAGATGTCCTTCAATGGGTAAATGGATAAAGAAACTGGTACATTTTGTGCCATGGCATAATACTCAACAATAGAAAGAATGAACTCTTTTTTTTTTTTTTTAAACAGAGTCTCATTTTGTCACTCTCAGTAGAATGCTGTAGCATCACAGCTCACAGCAACTTCCAACTCTTGGGCCTAAGTGATTCTCTTGCCCCAGCCTCCCAAGTAGCTGGGACTACAGGAGCCTACCACAAGGCGGGGCTATTTTATTTATTTATTTATATTGAGACAGAGTCTCACTTTGTCACCCTGGGTAGAGCGCTATGGCATCATAGCTCACAGCAACCTCAGACTCCTGGGCTCAAGTGATTCTCTTGCCTTACTTAGTCCCAAGTAGCTGGGACTACAGGCACCTGCCACAATGCCCAGCTTTTTGTTGTTGTTTAGCAGGCCCAGGCCGAGTTCGAACTCACCAGCCCTGGAGCATGTGGCTGGCACCCTAACCACTGAGTTACAGGTGGCCAGCCCGAGCTATTTTTAGAGAACAAGGTTTCACTCTGGCTCAGGCTGGTCTCAAACTCATGAACTCAGGCAATCCACCCATCTTGGTCTCCCAGAGTGCTAGGATTACAGGTCTGAACAACCTCGCCCAGCCTAGAATGAACTATTAATGTACAAAACAACATGGATAAATCTTGAGGGATTCTGCTGAGTGAAAGAAGCCAGACCAGACAAGAGTACATACTGTATGATGCCATTTATGTAAAAATCTAGGCTAAGCAAACTAATATATAGTGAAATCAGTGCCTAGTGATGGTAGAGGATGATTGGAGAGAGGTAGGAGGCAGGGATGAAGAGAAGACCTGGGGATGATATACACATTCATGAACTTGATGTGGTGATGATTTCACCGGGATATACCTATGTCCAAACTAGTCAAATTACACGCCTTGTACACATACGCGCGATTTATTGTATATCAGTTACTCCCCAAGAAAGCTATTAAACAAAAACGCAACATAAAGACTGATGTTTGAGGTGGAAGTTCGCTCAGTTTGTTTTCCATCCCCACTTACAGTGCCTCTAACAGCTGCTGAACAAGGACACAGAGTGGTTTGTTGACTTGTGGTAGTGTGTAATCATATACTGTCTTATGTGGTTGGCTAATTTGTTTTTAAACAGTAATTTAGCTTCTTCCGCTAAACTGCAAGATCTTCAACAGTTAGGCTTCATATCTCATACTTTTTTTTTTTTTGTCCTTTGCCAGGTACACCACAGTGACAGACACAGAGATAAGTTTAACATACACCTTGGGATCGACCAAGTGCCTTTCCCACTCCTTGACCAATTTGGGGGTGGAGGGAACTTAAGACAGAAACTGAGGAATGGTTCTTCTCAAGGTTTATTCTTTTTCTTATCTGGACTATAACATAGAAGACATGGGGAGGAAATCATGGCATAAATCCACCCCAAGACCAACAGTATTCTTTGTGCTACAACAGTCTGAGGGACAAATACAGATTTGTGTATCCCAGGGTTAAATTAGAGAGCTGTGGGTTGAAGGCTCACAAAGATACCACCATGAATGGATTGCCATCCTGCAGTTCAACCTCATTTCATTGTTTTTTGTCTTCATTTTGACCAATAAGGTGGTACTGACCGGAAAAAGAAGATGCAACTCAAGGAGGGTTTGATAAATAACAGCGTCCTTTAACTAAATACCTTCAATAAGCAGGATGTACCAGTTGTGATTGCAAACTCATTTTCTTTCCACATTGCTCTGAAAAAAGCAGCAGAAGGATCACTTCCCGCTGAACTTCTCAGTGAAAACAAGGGGAAAAGTGAAAACAGAATTATGGAAACCCGAGAGACTCACCTCTCAGGAGAAAGAAAACCGCTAATGTTTATAGTGGTGGACAAAGTTTATAATCTTTGATTTCCGCCGTGAAAAGTTGGCAGTAACTATAGAAGGACGTCTGTTGTAGAAAACTATATTACCCTGGGTATTATTTTTGTAGGATATGTGGATGTAGGTGATGATAAAGAACATCCAGAAACCATGCATGGATATCCGGGACACCAGGCCAAACCAGCGCATGATTCTGATCTCTTCAAAGGGGAAGTCTACATTGGTAAACACTTGTATGACAACGTTGATAGCTTCAAAGAAAAGGATCCAGATGCCATAGATGAGCAGACCTTTGTAGATGCGGGCATACACTGAGTACAGGAGGAAGCAGCTGATGATGATGGTGATGATAGATGTTAGAAGGAAGATGCCCCAACTCCAGCATGTGATGTACTCATTTATTATTTCACTTGTATGCATGGTCTCCAGTTCCTTCTCAGTACAGTTGCCAAACATTAGGTACTTCTCTTCAAAAATGAGGGACAAAATTGTGGCCATGATGCTGAAAACCCCTGACAACACCGTCCCCATTTTGGCAGTCATCCCACACCAGCGCCGCTGCTTCATGCTGAGACCTAGGAAGACAGACAATATGAGGGGGACTTCCGGAACTTGCCTGCATGATAATTACCAGGTTTTTCTGCCTCCTACCCCAAATCCACCTTGGAGAAATGATAGACAAAAATATGGAAACCAGAAAATAATAGCCTTGGGAAGGCGGAAGACTGTTTTAAATGGATTGGGGGTGGGAAGGAGGGAGGATTCAGTCTGGGACTGGCATGAAGCAGATAAGTTTTTTTTTTTTTTTTTGAGACAGAGCCTCAAGCTGTCCCCCTGGGTAGAGTGCCGTGGCATTACAGCTCACGGCAACCTCCAACTCCTGGGCTCAAGCGAGTCTCCTGCCTCCGCCTCCCAAGTAGCTGGGACCACAGGCGCCCGCCACAACGCCCGGCTATTTTTTGGTTGCAGCCGTCATTGTTGTTTTGGTGGGTCCGGGCTGGGGATTCGAACCCGCCACCTTAGGTGTACTAGGTGGCTGGTGCCTTAGCCGGTTGAGCTATAGGCGCCGAGCCATGAAGCAGATAAATTAACTTCAAATTAGAATCACCAACAGTACCCAAGCTTAGGCCCTACCCCAGACCAATCATAATTTTCTCTGGAAGGGACCCAGGCAGCAGTATTTTTCAAAACCCCCCAGTAATTTTCATAAGTAGCCAATGTTGGAAAACACTGAGTCATAGACCAAGCACGGTAACTCACACCTGTAATCCTAGCACTCTGGGAGGCCAAGGCAGGAGGATTTCTTAAACTCAGGAGTTCAAGACCAGCCTGAGCAGGAGCGAGATCCTGTCTCTACAAAAAGGAGAAAAAAATTAGCCAGGCACAGTTGCACATGCCTGTAGTCCCTGCCACTCAGAAGGCTGAAGTAGGGGGATCACATGAGCTTAGGAGTTTGAGGTTGCAGTGAACTATGACTGCAGCCTGGTGACAGAGTGAGACTCTGTTTCAAAACAAATAAGCAAACAAAAAATCCACTGAGTTATAAAAAGTTCTCTCCTAGCATTGCCTTGGGCAACCATTGCTGCCTGATGGTGAAAATTGGCTGCACTAGTTCAGACCTCAGTGCAGTTGTCTCAGCAGAAAAACCAAGGCAGCAGAAGGGCCCTGCTGGCATAAGGAGTTGATAAAAACAGGTGGACTTGACTCAGTGCCCCTCACTCAGTGGTTAGGGAGCTGGCCACAGACATGGGGGCTGGTGGGTTTGAACCCACCAGGGGCATGATAAACAACAATGACAACTACAACCAAAAAATAGCCAGATGTTATGGCGGGCGCCTGTAGTCCCAGCTACTTGGGAGGCTGAGGCAAGAGAATCGCTTAAGCCCAAGAGTTGGATGTTGCTGTGAGCTGTGATGGCATAGCACTCTACCAAGGTTGACAAGTCTACCAAGTAAGACTCTGTCTCAAAAAAAAAACAAAACAAAACATAAAAAAACAGGGCAGCTCCTGTGGCTCAAAAGGGTAGGGCGCTGGTCCCATATGCTGGAGGTGGCTGGTTCAAACCCAGCCCTGGCCAAAAAAGAAACACATAAAAAAACAGGTGAACTCCAACTGGCCTTGGACAATCACTCCTCTACTACGTATTAAAACATATGGATTACCGTGAGAGATGTACTTTAAGGAAAAGTTAGAGCCGTAGAATAGACTAGCCTTATAAAAGAAAAGTAATAATGAGCTAAGTGTTCAAGAAATTGCGGAGGTGGGGGAACCAGAACAATGGAAAAGGAGGAGGAAGAAAATAAATAGAAGAGCAGAAATCAATGCAACAGGAAATAAAGTAGAGGGAATTCTGATTAGTTAGGTTATTCGAACCAGCTCACGGTAAAAACAACCAAAGAGGCTAGATAAAAGAGTTTAAAAAAAAACATTTTTTTTTTTTTGAGACAGAGCCTCACTTTGTTGCCCCCGGTGGAGTGCTGTGGCTTAGGTGATTCTCTTGCCTCAGCCTCCTGAGTAGCTGGGACTACAGGTGCCCACCACAATGCCCAGCTATTTTTTTTGTTGTTGTTGTTGCAGTTAGGCCGGGGCAGGGTTTGAACTCACCACCCTCGGTATATGGGGCCAGCACCCTGCTCACTGAACCACAGGTGCTGCCCCATTATTTAAATTTTTATCTTACTTTTAATTGTGGTATAATACACATAATATAAAATTTGCCATCTTAATCACTTTTTTTTTTTCTTTTTGAGACAGAGTCTCTCACTCTGTTGCCTAGGCTAGAGTACAGTGATAACAGCCTAGCTCACTGCAACCTCAAACTCCTAGGCTCAAGTGATCCTCCTGACTCAACCTCCCAAGTAGCTGAGACTATAGACATGTGCCACCACACTGGCCAGATACACCAAAGCTGGCGGGTTCGAACCCAGCCTGGGCCAGCTAAAACAACAATGGCAATTGCAACCAAAAAAACAGCCACGTGTTGTGGCAGACGCCTATAGTCCCAGTAAGTTGGGAGGCTGAGGCAAGAGGGTCACTTAAGCCCAAGAGTTTGAGGTTGCTGTGAGCTGTGATGCTACAGCACTCTACTGGGGGCAACATAGTGAGAATCTGTCTCAAAAAATAAATAAACAAATAAATAAAGTAAAAGAATAATAAATACAAGATTGAGGATACTGCTTACTTCTGAAGTATAGGGATCAAGGATAAGGCAAAGGCATATAGACAAATGTGAGGTATAGTTAATCGATTTCTTGGGTTGAATGAGGGATTCATAAGGGCTCATAATAGTTTCAAACAAACAAATAAATTAACAAATAAAGGAACAAAAAGTGGGCCATGATGACTGTTTTTTATGACCTAGGATTATAAACAATCCAATTCTGTATACCTCAGGTCCTTAAGGAAAAAATAGGATGGAAAAAGACATGTAATTTAGTGTCATTCTGATGGCATGCTGTGGCATAATTGGCCCTGCTGCCTCCATCGCCTCCCACCCACCTGAAGGAGACAGCAGAACTTCTTCTTTTCATTTCTTTTTTTTTTTGAGACGGAGCCTCAAGCTATCCCCCTGGGTAGAGTGCCATGGCGCCGAGCCTCATTTTTTAGTAGAGATGACTTTATGAGGAAGACTTCTGTAGCAATTGCTACAACAACAAAAATAAACAAATGAGACTTAATGAAACTGAAAAGCTTCTGTACAGAGAAGGCAACAACAACCAAAGCAAACAGACAACCTACATTGGGAAAGGATATTTGCATATTTTGATTCAAACATTGGCAATTCTTTCTCTGTAGTCTCTCATCTTAATCATCTGTTCTCAGTAACTCACAAAGCCATGAAATTCCTCTCTTTTATCTCTCTCTTCCCTAACCTTTTGCCTTTCTTCTCTTCCCTCCTTTCCTTCTTTCCTCCTATGCAGCAAAACTTCCAAGTGTGGACTCTTGACTGCTGTAAGAGAAGTCAATGGGCTCACACCCATAGCACAGTGGTTATGGCACCAGCTACATACACCAAGGGTGGCGAGTTCAAACCCGACCCAGGCCAGCTAAACAACTGCAACAAGGCTCGGCGCCTGTGGCTCAAGGGGCTAAGGCGCCAGCCACAAACACCTAAGGTGGCGGGATCGAATCCAGCCCAGACCTGCCAAACAACAATGACGGCTGCAACCAAAAAATAGCTGGGTGTTGTGGCGGGCGCCAGCTACTTGGGAAGCTGAGGCAGGAAACTTGCTTGAGCCCAGGAGTTGGAGGTTGCTGTGAGCTGTGAAGCCACAGTGCTCTACCCAGGGGGATAGCTTGAGGCTCTG